ATATATATATATATATATATATATATATATATTTGTTCCAAAAATCTTAAATCGAAACTTGAAACCCGAATATTACAAAAACCCCTCGAAGTCTATCCCGACCACCACCACCTTCTCTACCAAACGTCCATCCTCTCAACCCACTCTTGGTTCTCCATCGAGGGCCAAGAAAGCCAAAAAAGGGACCCCACGTCTGTGGCTGTGACCTCTCAAAAGGTTTGAGCTATTGAAACTCGCCTTACTCCCGAGGCACTTTCACTACCCTTCCCATCTCTTAAGTGATATCTGAAATCACTGCCGTACCTGTGGCTCCTTCCCCAACTGCCTCAGTGAACCAAATCAATGAAGGTGAGAATATCAGCATGGCCACTGCTGAACACTAATGTGCAACTGTCTCGACCATTTTCTCTTGTCCTCCATCATTGGTCTCGACACGTGTTTATGACTCATCAACGACTTTTCTCCCTGATGATGAAACATACACCACTGGACCTAAGATTGCTCCTCTCGAGGCATCTCAGCAAACCGACGCCTATCCTCTCGAAGGCACCTCAGAGCGAACAAACGTTAATCCTTTAGATAACGCTAAAGAACCCTCAGGTACTCTACCTTCCTACCTTTTTTGTTTCTACTAACCAGCCATGGACGAAGAGTACAACATGGCTGACGATATCAAGCTACTCCTTTTCGTAGAGACTACCCTTATCAAAATGGATGAGGTCCATAAGGGCATGCCTCTTAGGGACGAAGTAGCTACTGACCTTTCAGCTGTCCGAGCTAAAGTGCAAGAGGTCAAGGACCAGCTCTCCTCAATGCAAGTGGTTGTGCAAGCCAACGATGAGGCCATCAACACTTTAACAAGCAAGGCCGATGAAGCGAACTCTCATCTTGCCAAGCACACGGAGCTGATGCAGCAGATATTGGCTACTCTTCAACAGCCAATCCTAGCACCTGAAACTTCGTTCAATGCTGAAGATCGTGAGTAGCTAGATCAGACACGCGAGGCTACTATTCTTCTAGCCCGCACTATGACAAAGCTGGAAGAGATGATGGCGCTTCAGATTCGCACGGTCGACCATTTCTTTAGCTATTGCTCCAAAGCCATTGCCAAAGAGGGGGAGACAGAGTCTGGAGCTGCTCCTTCAAAAGTTGTTGCTGCCACTGAACCTACTCTTCCAGTAACTGAAGCTGAAGCTGAAGCTCATACTGAAGCTGAAGTTGAGGTTGCTGATGAAAACCCAACTTCCTGTGAAGCTTATGTATTTGAGGATGTTGATGTCATCTGAGTTGGTGCTGAAGCTCGTGACGATGACCTTCCAATCACCTCTGCAGCTAATGCTGGTGATATGGAAGATGATGATGAAGATGAAGATGGTGACTCTCCCGACCTTCCTGACGCTTGTGAAGATCTGGGTAATGACGATGATGAACACGACAATGACGACAACTGTACCATCCAGTAACAGAGACCTTCCGGTGCCACGAAAGGCATCGCTCTCAGGGATTCTGCATCCTAGGGGGAACAAAGGGAGAAAGAAAAGGAGACTCAAGAAAGGAACCATACACCAAGTCGAAAGACAAGGGTGTTGCTGCAGAAGGAAATTTAAAGGTACTTTTCCAACCTTTAGAACCTGTAACTAATGAGTCCTCCAGTTTCACTACCATTACCTCTCTTTATCAACTCTCCATCCCTTTGACTACATGTAGTCGGCTAGAGGAATGGGTGACTGAAAACCCAACCTCCAACGCTCCCACCAACCAGCAGATGTCTCAGTTGAAGGAGTTGATCAACCAAACTAGAGTTAAAATCCCTCTTCGTACCTCTAGTTGTGGTGAGTTCACTTCCTGAAAGAAGCTGAAAGACTCGAGGCACTCAAGGCCGAGGAAAAAGTCAAACTTCAACGACAATAGACGGAGGACAACTTAAAGCTGGCCAAGTCTCTTGTTGCTAAAGTTCTTCCAAGGAAGAAGTCCAAAAGGATGGTGAATGTTGTCCATGCCCAGGCTAAGTTGGAGTCTAATGCAGAAGCTGAAAGCGAGAAAACTCTGAAACTGGCCGAGTGCGATAGAAAATGGAGAGAACAATTTTTACACAAGAGGATCAGTCCTCACCTAATTTCAAACATCACCATCAGCGGACGGATGAAAGACGGTGGAGTGCTTGTCTCAATGCTCATCACCAAGGACAACCTTGAAGCTGTCACGGAGTACCCTTCCTACCTTGGTAAGTATGGCTACAGTGAATGGCTAGAGATCAGCCAAGCCATTCAGCGCTCAAAGTCAAGACAGAAGCCGATTATTGAAGACATCATCAACGATCTAATCAAGAAGATGTCAAGATATGTCGTGGTACCTGAAAAGCCTACTTAGAAGAAAGGTGGAAGAAGAAGAAGAAGACCTTCAAGTCCTAATGACAGACCAACCCTGAGAAACGAACATGAAACAAAGTTCTCCTTGGATGAAGTCCGGAAGGCTTCAAAGAAGCCAGACATTTCTATGTTGAACCTGTCATTGCCAGCCAAGGGTCCTTACATACCCAACATGGTGCACAAGAAGCTTGAGTTAAGATTTATCTTCCTTAACTATGAAGGCGAAGTTAGCTTTCAAAGAATGTCTGAGTTACATCTATGCCCAATGGAACATCTCGCATACTTCTGATTTTGGCTAGATGATGACATATATTGTAACATCACGCTTGAACAAACCCCAAATTACAAATTTTATAAAATCTCCAGTAAAATATAATTTATTGATTATTGGGACCAAAATTGATCCTAATTATTCTAAAAGTTTTGTCAAAGCAATCATGGCCAAGGATGGAAAATCTGAAAATGCTACTAAAAAAAACTAAGTCTGGAGGAAGACCAGAGGCAATGGATGGACCAGAGGCAATGAATGAACCAGAGGCAATGGATGGACCAGAGGCGAGGCTATGAAGAACCAGACGCGATGAATTGGTCCAGAGGCAGGCGATGGACCAGAGGCTGCTGAAATGGCTAAGTCTGGAAGAAGACTAGAGGCAATGAATTGGTCCAGAGGCAGGCGATGGACCAGAGGCTACTGAAATGGCTAAGTCTGGAAGAAGACCAGAGGCAATGAAGAACAAACCCTTTGAAACACACAGATTTGGGCAAAACATTAAATAACCTCAAAATATGGGATATTAATTTTCTAGAAAAACTTCGAAATATCCATTCTATTTTAGAGATAAAAACCACCCAAAACACAATTCCAAACCGGATATAACGGAGTTTTTACTTACAACTCGAATTATGTAGCAAAAGAATATGGGACAAGACTATATATAAGCTACACATACTACAACTATGAGATACGGTAATAAACTACTATTTACCCAAAAGCAAGATCGATATCTTCAAGTTCCCCGATAAATCTTCAAGTCAAACAACGGGTTCTTTCTTTTTGTCCAACTTCTTTCCTGAGAGAGGTTGCCACTAAAATGGTAAGCCAACGCTTAGTGAGTTAAATAATTAAGCATTACGTATCAATATCGCCCATGTTTATAAACATACATAATAAACTCTTATCAATAAAAGAGTTCAAGACATCATCCAGATGCAAACCGAGACTTGCAAGAAACCGAGTGAACAATTACGTACCGGATGCTAAGATCATAGGATTCCATATTCAAATCACCATAGTATACCATATCATTGATGCTCAATACAACAAGGAGACTGGATCAACAACCAAATATTTTCAGCAACATTAGAATACCAATAAATATCAAGAACCAAAAGATCGAATCGGTATACATAACGAGGACAGTGCATCCCCCCATCCTTCACCTTATGGGCTCATGCCAAAGTCCGAGTCGGAATCATACATTACGGGAAACCCCACACTGCCCGCCTTCCTCTACCGGGTATGTGCCAAGGTTCCCTACACATTGCTGTTCCTCCTCTTCGAGCAATGAGTATTCACAATCGCAGAAAGTCTCACCCGTCCAGCCCGAGATCTTGAATTCGCCATAAACTTCCGGTGTACCACATGAAGTAGTACCCGTACTATGGCGTACAATTCAAGGAACAAAACAACGAGTCCAGATTCAGAAAGCAAACCGATGTACCGAGATAGTAATAAGGAATCGACTGAAGAGACGGAATCAAAGACAAATCAAGATCGTATGACTCCATTCAAGACCAAAAACATTCATATGAAAATATATATGTTCAAATCAATATGTAACAATTAACTATATAACTCATCGGGCAACCGTATAATACTGAAAAGCTCTGAATTAAGCTCACAAAGCAAGTCCAATCTACCACACTTAGATTGCTTCCAAAGTATCAAAACATGTCCTAATTACCCTCTGGAGTAAATGTACAAAATCTCATAAGCAACCAATATAAGAAACTCATGATATACACATATCCTATTTGAACATTTTACCTAAATTTCTATGTACAGCTGTTGCATGCAGAACTGTTTTGCCTATTTTAAGCTCGAATTCATGCCTTGATCATAAAATAAGAAATAAACTAGACTCAAATATCTAACTAAGTAAATTGGCATTAACTCATTTGGAGTTTTCGATGATTTTATATAGATTTTCAAAGTCTGCACACTTTCAATGCATTCTTAAGTCGAAATTCTCATTTTCAAACATTTTTCTCAAACCATTTCGATTCCAAACCATTCCAACTTCT